GTTTCGGCATCTATATATCTCTGAGATGATGTATTATGATTACTTTGCATTATTTACATTATTTGGACTGTTATCCTCATCTTCATTGCCATATTCACAACGTTTTGGCATCTATATCTCTGAGATGAGGTATTATGATTACTTTGCATTATTTACATTATTTGGACTGTTATCCTCATCTTCATTGCCATATTCACAACGTTTCGGCCGTTCTATATCTCTGAGATGAGGTATTATGATTACTTTGCATTATTTACATTATTTGGACTGTTATCCTCATCTTCATTTGCCATATTCACAACGTTTTGGCCTCTATATCTCTGAGATGAGGTATTATGATTACTTTGCATTATTTACATTATTTGGACTGTTATCCTCATCTTCATTGCCATATTCACAACGTTTTGGCATCTATATCTCTGAGATGATGTATTATGATTACTTGCATTATTTACATTATTCGAACTGTTATCCTCATCTTCATTGCCATAATCGCAAAGTTTTGGCCTCTATATCTCTGAGATGAGGTATTATGATTACATGCATTATTTACATGATTTGGACTGTTATCCTCATCTTCATTGCCATAATCGCAAAGTTTTGGCCTCTATATCTCTGAGATGAGGTATTATGATTACATGCATTATTTACATGATTTGGACTGTTATCCTCATCTTCATTGCCATATTCACAACGTTTTTGGCTCTATATCTCTGAGATGATGTATTATGATTACTTTGCATTATTTACATTATTTGGACTGTTATCCTCATCTTCATTGCCATATTCACAACGTTTTGGCATCTATATCTCTGAGATGATGTATTATTACGATTACTTTGCATTATTTACATTATTTGGACTGTTATCCTCATCTTCATTGCCATATTCACAACGTTTTGGGCATCTATATCTCTGAGATGATGTATTATGATTATTATTTGCATTATTTACATTATTTGGACTGTTATCCTCATCTTCATTGCCATATGACGTTTTGGATCTATATTCTGAGATGAGGTATTATGATTACTTGTATTATTTACATTATTTGACTGTTATCCTCATCTTCATTGCCATATTCACAACGTTCACAACGTCTGGCATATTGAGATGATGTATTATGATTACTTTGCATTATTTACATTATTTGACTGTTATCCTCATCTTCATTGCCATATTCACAACGTTTGGCCTCTATATCTCTGAGATGATGTATTATGATTACTTACATTATTTACATTATTTGGACTGTTATCCTCATCATCATTGCCATATTCACAACGTTTTACGCTCTGGCCTTCTTCTATATCTCTGAGATGATGTATTATGATTACTTTGCATTATTTACATTATTTGGACTGTTATCCTCATCTTCATTGCCATATTTCACAACGTTTTTTGGCCTTCTTCTATATCTCTGAGATGATGTATTATGATTACTTGTATTATTTACATTATTTGGACTGTTATCCTCATCTTCATTGCCATATTCACAACGTTTTGTTGTCTCTATATCTCTTGAGATGATTGGATTATGATGATTATGATTATTATTATTTACATTATTGGACTGTTATCCTCTGAGATCATTGCCATATTTCACAACGTTTTGGCCATCTATATCTCTGAGATGATGTATTATGATTACTTGCATTATTTACATTATTTGACTGTTATCCTCATCTTCATTGCCATATTCACAACGTTTTGGCATCTATATCTCTGAGATGATGTATTATGATTATTGCATTATTTACATTATTTTGACTGTTATCCTCGTCTTCATTTGCCATCTTCACAATGTTTGGGCATCTATATCTCTGAGATGATGTATTATGATTACTTGCATTATTTACATTATTTGGACTGTTATCCTCATCTTCATTGCCATATTCACAACGTTTTTACATTCTATATCTCTGAGATCCCTTCTTCATTATGATTACCATTATTTACATTATTTTTGACTGTTATCCACATCATCATTGCCATATTCACAACGTTTGGCATCTATATCTCTGAGATGATGTATTATGATTACTTGCATTATTTACATTATTTGGACTGTTATCCTAATCTTCATTGCCATATTCACAATTTTCGGCATCTATATCTCTGAGATGATATTATGATATATTCATTATTTACATTATTTGGACTGTTATCCTCGTCTTCCATGTTCTTCAATGTTTGGATCTATATATCTCTGAGATGATGTATTATGATTACTTGCATTATTTACATTATTTGGACTGTTATCCTCATCTTCATTGCCATATTCACAACGTTTTGGCATCTATATCTCTGAGATGAGGTATTATGATTACTTGCATTATTTTTTTGACATTATTATCATTTATTTCACAATTTTACATTATTTCTCATCCATATATCTCTCATTGCCATATTTACTGGCCTCGTCTCTTTGGCATATTCGTTTGGATCTATTCTCTGAGATGACGTATTATGATTACTTGCATTATTTACATTATTTGGACTGTTTCATCATCATCATTGCCATGTTCACAACGTTTGGCATTCTTTTGGCCTCTTCATGATTCTATATTGGTATTATGGCCCTTCATCATTACATTATTTGACTGGCCATTAATTTTCTTTTCTTCACAATGTTTTTGATATATTCTGAGATGAGGTATTATGATTACTTGTATTATTTACATTATTTTGACTGTTATCCTCATCTTCATTGCCATATTCACAACGTTTTGGCCTCTATATCTCTGAGATGATGTATTATGATTTGCATTATTTACATTATTCAAACTGTTATCCAAATCTTCATTGCCATGTTCACAATGTTTTGCCTCTATATCTTTGAGATGATGTATTATGATTACTTGCATTATTTACATTATTTGACTGTTATCCACATCATCATTGCCATATTCACAATGTTTTGGCATCTATATCTCTGAGATGATGTATTATGATTACTTGCATTATTTACATTATTTGGACTGTTATCCTCATCATCATTGCCATATTCACAACGTTTTCGGCATCTATATCTCTGAGATGATGTATTATGATTATTGCATTATTTACATTATTTGACTGTTATCCAATCGTCATCATTTATTTATTTATCATTATCTCTGAGATGATTATTATGATTCATCATTTACATTATTTGGACTGTTATCCATTGTCTTCATTGCCATGTTCACAACGTTTCGGCATCTATATCTCTGAGATGATGTATTATGATTACTTGCATTATTTACATTATTTCAAACTGTTATCCTCATCTTCATTGCCATATTCACAACGTTTTGGCATCTATATCTCTGAGATGATGAGATATGATTACTTGCATTATTTACATTATTTTGACTGTTATCCTCATCTTCATTGCCATATTCACAACGTTTTGACCATCTATATCTCTGAGATGATGCCTTCTTCATTATTGCATTATTTGAGATGACTGTTATTATTATCGTCATTCATTCATTATTTGGCATCTATATTTTGAGATGATGTATTATCCTTGCATTATTGCCATTATTCAAACTGTTATCCTCATCTTCATTGCCATCTTCACAAGATGGCATCTATATCTCTGAGATGAGGTATTATGATTACTTGCATTATTTACATTATTTGGACTGTTATCATCATCATTGCCATATTCACAACGTTTTGCATCTATTCTGAGATCTGGTATTTCTTCAGATTATTTGGATTATTTTTGATGTTACCCTCGTCATCATTGATTACTCACATTATTTACATTATTTGAGATGATGTTATGATTACATCATTATTTACATTATTTTGACTGTTATCAAATTTCATTGCCATATTCTTCAGATGATCTGGATCTTTGAGATGATGTATTATGATTACTTGTATTATTTACATTATTTGGATCCTGTTATCCACATCTTCATTGCCATATTGCATTATTTACATTATTTTGACTGTTACCCTCGTCACAACGTTTTGGATCTTTCTCTGAGATGACGTATTATCATTATTTACATTATTGGACTGTTATCCTCATCATCATTGCCATATTCACAGTGTTTTGGCGTTTCTCTATATCTCTGAGATGATTGGATTTTGAGATGTATTATTTGATTATTTGTATTATTTACATTATTTGGTTTTATCCACATCATCATTGCCATATTCACAGCGTTTTTTGGCCATTGTACACTCTGGCCTTCTTCAGATGATTGGATCTTTGAGATGATATTATGATTATGATTACTTGTATTATTTACATTATTTGATATTGTTATCCCATCATCATTCAGACCATCGTTTTTCACAACGTTTGACTACGTCTTCTGGTGATTCAATGGATTGGATCGTTTTGAGATGAGATATTATGATTACTTGTATTATTTACATTATTTGGACTGTTATCCTGTTATCCACATCATCATTGCCATATTCATTGAATTTTTTTTTTGTACACTCTGGCCTTCTTCAGATGATTGGATCTCTTTGAGATGAGGTATTATGAATACTTGCATTATTTACATTATTCGGACTGTTATCTTAATCTTCATTGCCATATTCACAATGTTTCGGCTGTTGTATGTTCCAGGTTGATTTGGAATTTCAAACTGAACGCTTTATTTCATCCACCAGAGTAGATTGTTCTAGTTCCATAAAGACGCATGACCCAGTAGATAAAGACATTAGTTAGATCTAATGACTAGACCCAAAGAGTTGTGAGTTTAATACCAGGCCACAGCAGTGGTGAACCAAAATTTGGAGAGTTGAGTTAAAGGGAAATGACTGAGACATCCGGAAGAGGCATGGCACGTGGAACTAGAACAATCTACCCCAGGGGATGAAATAAATGGTTTGGTTCAAAATTCCCATCACCTGAAGAAGGCTGGAGTGTGCAATGGCTGAAACGTTGTGAAGATGAGGTTAACAGTCCAGATAATGTGAATAATGCATTGAACAAAGATCTTTTCATGAGTTAAGTGAGGCTAAATTAATTGTAAACAACTTACTGTCTTTATCCATAAAATCCTGAGGATTGTAGGAAAAGCCGCTAGCCTCCAGACCAGGACCACAACTGGCATGTTCTCCACTTTCTTGGAGGTTTATCACAGTTTTTATATTAGCACTGAAATCAGAATATGGGAATGAGCAAGCATCAGCTGTTAACATCAGATTAAAATCACTTTTTCATACACACACAAAAAAAAATAAATGGAAATAATTCAAGCAGTCATTCATAATACAAAAGATGGTAGAAAACTCCAAGGTGAAATTGGGAAAAAGGTTGTGGTAGGGTAACATAACCATATATTTTTTTTTTTTAAAGCTGTGACAAAATGAAAGTCACCAACACACACTTGACAAAGAATCAAATTAACCAGGTTATACATGAAAGAATGGTTTTATTTTGTCATTTGATGTCAGTGTTAAAAGTCTGAATATCTTGATAGTGAAGTTTATACAGGATATATGCTAAATGCCAGTGTGATCAGATGGAGACTCTTTATTGCATTTTCATATTAACACGCCTAAGTATGATCACAGACTCAGATTAATTGTAGTTTAAATTTGTGGTAGATCAAATACCAAGAAATAGGTGTGTGTTTATTGCGGGATTACAAGGTTGAGCTAACAAGTAGCAAATTGGGTTACATTTGAAAGCTCTAGAGCTAATAATTTTTGAATCGGATCCCTTCTCATTAGTAACTCAAATTAGTTCAGCTTATTTTAAAAGTAACCCCCTCCCCACAAAAGTAACAAGAAACAAAACTTAGTAGCACAGAAGTTACAAAAGTTGTTCAGTCTGGTTTGTTGTATAATAGGAGGTGGGGGAAGAGACTAATGAGAGGGATATTGCTGTATAATGGGGGGGCACCAATAAGGGGGTATTTTTATATAATTGAGGGGGGGGGCAATACGGTAGGGGAGATGAGTGAAGTGACTTTGGATCAAATGAGCTGGCAGCTCCCAAAAAGTGTAAAAACCACTAAGAGTTTATAGAAATTAAGGGCGACATTTGCTTTGAATTTTAACAACATCCATTTTTTGAATATAATAAATAAATATTTATATATTATGCCTTTCAATTCCTTGAGGAACATACGGCCACAAGATGTCATTAAAGTTTCTATAACAAGCCAGTTTTTAAGTGAGTAGGTTGTTAGCCTATTGCACAACCCCCAACCTGGTGGATCAGGTTTTGAATTCAGAGTTGTCCTTCTCCTAGACTAGTTGCCACCCAAGGCTATAGAATCCAGTCTGTCCTGCTATTTAATGGGGGGAGAAGAAGAGGATCCATACCTTTCCCAAGGGTATTAGCATGTAAGTTAATGTAATGGATCCGACTGGAATTTGAACTTGGCTCTCAGATTCTTCAATCTGAGCTGCTATCCATTACTCTGCTATGCCTCCTAAGGTGTTGCTATTAGTCCATACTAAATAAGTATAGAGGATTTTACAAATATATAAATGTATCCATTACCAAAGAAGTGAGTAATGTTGAATAATGACTGTTACCTGGATTGAACTCAGAAACTCAAGTATGTGTAATAGTCTTATAATAAGCTGGTTTACCTACTAAGTAAGTATTGCATTCAATCAGCATAAAGACTCAGGGTGAAAAGAAAGAAAATGTATTGACCAATATCCATCAAGTATAATTCAGAGTTCACCGTGTAATTTTTTTTGTTGTGGAAATTAAATGGACAAACTTGTATATTAATGTCCATTTAACATCACCATTTTTTTAAAATCAAATAAAAAGGTTTCCTTTATGGATTTTGTTCTTTACTGTCTTGTATTGGACGAAAACAGATCTAACAAGGAAAATGAAAAATTGTTGAAAAAAGCCAATGAGGAACCAAACAAAAGACACCTAATGCCGCTTTAAGGTGGAATCTATTTTCTTTAAATTTTTTTTGGTCTGGTGCAAAAATATATCAAATAGGATCTGCCTCTCCTTCAATATGATTAAGCTCTTTCAAAGAGCCATATAATTTCACAGAATTGGTTCAAAGGAGAAATCTATACATAATACTGGATTATTTACAAGCCTATCAATATTGGATTTCTTTTAATATACAAGCATGTAAGGGCACCTTGAGGTGATGTAATGGTTAACAAGCTTGTCTCACTAGAACAATTCTGACTGAGTAGTGAAATCGATCCTCACTGGGTGCCCCATACTTTCGGCCTTGTGTCACATCTAAGCTACTCTTGGAAAATCACTACAAGCATGTAATTAATATCTTTTTTTCATTTTATAAAAACCTATAATATAGGACTTTTATTTTAATTTTAATGCTGGAGGAAAGAGGGTTTGTAGAATCTGACACTCACAGGACATGTTGAAGGAAAACAGCGATATGTAAATGGTTGGCAGAACAGGGATTAGGAGGGATAGCAAAAAGACGAAACTTACTAAGACCTACAAAAGACAAGAAGTTGTGGAGAGTCATGATTGTCTATGTCCTGAGAATAGCATATTGTCATTGATTTGGCATTAAAATAGTTCTTTCTGACAAATGTCACCAAAACAGAAATTCTTATTCAGAAAGTCTGAGAGGAATGAATTCACTGAAATCATAATTGCTAATGTCATTATTATATATTTTTTTTTTCTGGAAGCCACTAGCACGCAAGGGGTTACATAGGATTTGGAGCGAGAGCAGATAGGAGTGATAGAGGAAAGGATGAAGAGAAGGATAGTGGATAGATCAAGGCAACTGGAGATGTCTATTGACATTACATTTGAATAGTTGGAGATTATAGCTATCAGGGAAACAGGAATACGGAAGGGAGTTCTACAGGCGAGAGGTGCGAGATATGAAGCTATTGGAGTAGAAGAGACGGATACATTTAACAGTTTCAACAGTGAAAGGGTGAGAGCGGGATGCCAGCCTCGTAGGACGCTTGAATACATGAAGTCTGGGAACCAGCAAAAGCAGCTCATTGGAGCAGTTACCATGAAAGTATTTATAAAAAAGACAGAGAGAGGCGGATATATAAATAAAAATGAACAGACAAAGCAACTGATTCTGTTAGGTTTGTTTTCAGCTTATCTACCATATTTTCTTATGTATAATATGACCCAGTGTTTCTGAAGCTAAAAACACGGAATACATTACACACTTGAGTATAATACAAACCAATAGTACAGCCATTCTTGTAAATTTTTTTGAGAAGATGTATCATATTCATTAAACTCTCAATATTGTATCCCCATAAATTATTGTAATATTTTGCAATTTAAAATTACAAATACCAGAGGACACTACTTATATGGTGTTATAATTATGTTGTGGTTGTTTACATATCTATTTTGGATTGTTTTATTTTTCTTGAATCGTCTGAAGTCAATAAATGGAAGAGTATGAAACAACAATCTCACAGAATGGGAATTATTGCTGCATTTTTCAAGTGAAAAAACTCAAAAAAAGTACATAATTTATACAATAGTTAAACCTTTGTGGTAACATTAATGTTATCAAAACAGGAGACATATGTACTCATTTTATTAATTTTTTTTTAATCAATTTCAGTGAATTTCCTATCTTTGAGACAAAAGATGTTCAATCATGCTTATTCTCAAAGAACAAATATGGCTGACATGTCAAATACTTTTTGTAAACAATTATCAACACCTGCCTACTTTTTGTTTTATTTTCTACTGTGCTGAATCTATCTTACTGTTTGAAGAGTTTTTTTTTAAGCCGAGTAAAAAATTCTGAAAAATTGTATATCATACAGGCCTCCTTTTTTGCGTTTATTTTTCATTCAAAATTTCTTGTATCATGCAAAAAAAAAAAAATACAGCAGACATTAAACTGACAATATTTCGTATTGAAATGTTTATAAAATTACAAAGAGTCAAAAGAAAAAGAAAATTTCTCAATCTCACTCTTTAAATTGCTGGATAATGTTGAATTCTTTAATAGCTGCAGTATTTGGCCGAGACATGGCCAATATATTATCAGTCACCCTGCAATGGATAATTAAAAAATTGTGACATTAAAATATGTGTTATAGAAGGAAATAGAATGCTTTATGGTAAAAAAAAAAAAAAAAAAAAAATAATCAATAAATAAATAAATATATAGCTGGTAATATTATTGTTTCAAAAATGTATTATCAGAGGCCTTGCTGTTGGACATAGTTTATCGTCTTACCCAGGACGCAGATGTAGTCTATCGTCTTAACCAGGATGAGATCTGGGTTTGTGGGTTAACTATTTGCTAATAGCTGGGACCCTAACAGGTGCTACCATCCCAGGTCAGGGTGGACCTGGGAACACCAGCAATTAAGAGGTGGTTCCACACACCTCAAAACCTCCTGATCAGAGGCCTTGCTGTTGGACGTAGTTTATCATTTTACCCAGGACACGGACGCAGTTTATCATCATAATAGTCTTCATTCTTTTTTTTTTGTACAAAGCTACCCCCCAAATTATGAGAAAACCTCTTACCATAAAATATCTGATACAAAGATTTAGATACTCTACTCTTTGTTTTCAAAAATACCTGATTTAGCCTCTTCAAAAGAATGACCTGTGTAGTGTGTGACCCCCCACCGTCTTTTTCATAAAAAAAACTTGCACTATACTCAAGTATATATGTTACGAAAAAATATACAAGATAAAGGTAGAGATTAATTTGGCCCAAAAGGTTAATGCAACCTTTTGGGCCAAATTAATCTCTATGATTTTTTCTTTGGATTTCTCCATTAGCAAAATATTTAAAACCCAAACCGATTACTGTATATACTTGCATATAAGTTGACTTCATACATAGTACGACACTTGGATTTTTTTGTGAAAAAACCTCATTTATAAACCCACCTTCTGAGTAATACTGGTAGGCATACTGTAATGAAATATTGCACTACTGGGCATCATCCTGGTCATATTTTATAGCAAGTAAATGGTCTTCAATCTCTTTTTGTACAAAGCTACACTAAAATGGTGAGTAAAACTGAACTGTAATATCTGATGCAAAGATTTAGGTGCCATACTTTTGTTTTCATTCATTCCTGATCTTTAAACTCTACAAAAAAATTAACTGTGTTTAGTGCAACCCACTATTTTTTTGTATAAAATTTGATCATAAAAACTTACATTATACTTGAGTATATATAGCATTATATTGAATTATATTGAATCTATGTGGTGAGAACAAACGAAAGAAATGCCTGGAAAATGCATTTTATCAAAATTTAAAATTACAATTACTTGTAGTTATGTGTATTTAAATTCTATTGTTCAAAAATATTTTATAAATAAAAAATTTGGTTTTCATATTTATTTCTTTGTATGGTAAATAATAAATACTGCATTGTATTTGGTTCACATATCTATAAACATAAAATTATTCTTGTAAATAAACAATTTAATAAAAATAAAAAATTTAACAAAAGGTTGGAAAGTCTTAAGTCGGACAACTAACTACAAAACGGTGGAGTAAAGGCCCTTTCTAATTTCAAGATTACATTTAGAGATCAAAATCAAAAATTATTTTAAAAGTTATCATTATAAACTCAATGTTGAAAATATGTTATGGGATGTGAACTAATCCTAACGACAAACAATATCTTAACTTGAATAGAGTCTTGTGAAAATAATCCCTTGTTGTCAAATAATGTTGCTTCTAAAGTCAGTGTGATTAATATGATGTGTAATGTAAAAATTGGAATAACAACAACATAGATGTAATCTACATAACTTAACAGAATTTACTAAGAATAGGTACAGATGTATGTTGACTTAGTTAAGTTTAGTGTTGATTGAAATTACATGTGTGATTTTGTTCAATTTGCCATATTCCCAAAGAGAGTGAAACCCCAACTCAACAAGACAAATTCTTTAATCTTTGGAGATCAAAAATCCACTAAGGGGCGTAACTCATTTTGAGTTATCTCCCACATTTGAGCACTGTCTATTCTATTCTTATACTATGATGTTATAATTTTCGAATAAATAATTATATTTGCTCTACTCTGTATTGAGCAATATTTTAAGAATAGTATTTGATATATATATATATATATATATATATATATATGATCGAAATAAAAGTATAAAATTTAATATTACAAGACATATTAAAACACTATTAAATAATAAAAAAAAAACAAAAAAAAAAAACTCAACAACAAGGGGGGGGGGAAGCAACCGGTTTCGCTCCCGCTCGTCAGGCTTCCACGGGAGATTCCAAATTAAAACAGAGAAATGTGCAATAAGAATAGGTGGAGAAAAAAAAAAAAAATTACGCATATATATGTATATGTTTGTATATATGCAAGAAGGAACTAGAGGCAGATGACAGCGAGTCCCAGCAAACACTCACGTTGTTTGCACAAAGAAGGCTTGCGGGACCCGATGTAAAGTACCTCCAGAACCTTCAGATGAAATACAGAGTGTGACCGGGCCAACACGGTGAACCAGTCGACACTAAATTTGGCGGCACAATCTCTGCTATTTAAAAGATGTTCGCATATGGCGGAACTGTAGGTATTGGGACGAGTCCACTCGAAGCCAAGGTGTGGTTTCTAATTTTAGTAGGAACGTGCTGCTTTATTCTAGTGTCTAAGCGCTGAGTTGTTCTCCTATGTAGTTGGCTTTCAACTACAAACGTATTTGTAAACAATTGAATTAATATGGTGGGGAGGGAGAACGTCTTTACACGAGGGTTAAACATAGGCCGAGTTTGAAAAATAATCCGAACTTCAGCAGAGAAAAAGCAGCAGCGGACCTTTGATGAAATTTGTTTGACCATTTTTTCACACTTTGTGCCAATCCAGGGTAATCTAAGGTAAACAGGGCATTTTTTGACCGTGTGGAGATCGGTACTTCTGAACTCTTCAACTTTACTCCGGATAACTGAATTAACAGTATCAAGAGGATAACCCAAATTACATAGGGTATCCTTAATAAAGTTAATTTCGTTGTTCAGGAAAGGCTCAGAGCAAATCTTTAATGCTCTGTGGAGGAGGGTTTTGATAATGTTGATCTTGCGCTTACTGGGACAAAAGAGTCCCAACGCGTGTATAACCCTGCAAAAGTAGGTTTTCTATAAGCGGAAGTAAGAAAACCTGTTAACGAGACGATGTACTAATACATCCAAAAAAGCCAATTGATGATTAGACTCTTTTTTCGATAGTGAACCTTAGTGCCGGATGGATACCATTTAAAAATGAAAGAAACTGGTCAGCCTCAACTTCACCGTTAAATAAACAAAAGGTGTCGTCAACATACCGGTAGTACAGTTGAGGACAAAGTGGATTCTTTCGTATCTTTTTCTTCCTGAAGCCAACAAATATGTTAGCAAGTGCCGGACCCAAAGGCGAGCCCATAGCGACTCCATCGATCTGTCGGTACATAGTATTGTTGAAACTGAATTCAACGGAGGACGTTGCAAATCTCATCAATTCCCGAAAAATTGACTCCGGAAAACTAGGTGGAGTTAATGAACTGCAATAGAGATAGTCGCAACAAATATCGATGGTTTTCCATCAAAGGGACACAAGTATACAAGGAAGAAACATCGAAGAGCACATAAACTTACTGGAAGAAGACAATTTTAGACGCGGGTCAACAAAGGAAAAGGAATCCTTGATACAAAAACCATCCAAGCACTGCAACACAGGATCCAAAAGTGTGGAGAGCCATTGGGCTATCTTGTGTTGGGCGAAAATTTCTCCACCTATTCTTATTGTACATTTCTCTGTTTTAATTTGGAATCTCCCGTGGAAGCCTGACGAGCGGGAGCGAAACCGGTTGCTTTCCCCCCCTCCCCTTGTTGTTGAGTTTTTTTTGTTTTTTTTTTTATTATTATTTAATAGTGTTTTAATATGTCTTGTAATATTAAATTTTATACTTTTATTTCGATCATTAAATTTTGTACCTACAAAAATATCTTTATAATATATATATATATATATATATATATATATTCTATGTTTCTATTTTCTTTACAAAATCTATATTGTTTGTGACGTAAGTTTGTGGAGAAACGCCAGAGGGTCTCAGTAATATTTATCAGAAACTTTAGAGTTTTTATTTCAGTCGAAACTTTAGAGGTACAAGGAGTGACTCATCTTCAAATGAAAGTGTTCAATTTTGAAGTAATGTGGTTACTTTGGAGACACATTACAGTACAAATCTGATTATTTTGACCCTCAAAAGAGTGGAGAAATGACTTAAGTAGATGACTGCTTAATTCTTCATGCAATATGTTCAGATGTGGTTTCTGGTTGTCTCTCTCCTGGTCCTTTTTATACAATTTTGGAAGGCTCCGAACAGCTTGGTGCAAAGTGCAGCTTGACTAAAATCAAGTCTCTTTGTTATTCTGATTAGCCTAAATTATTTTATTTAATTTTCCGTTTAGCTTTCTTTTTCTTTTTATAGCAAAAGTTATGTGTGGAACCACTCTTGTTTTGGTCACAATAAACTAAACCCTGGACTAGCAAATTTTCATTTTGCAGCAGTTATTCAGTCTTTTTTTTCTTTTTCTTCTTTTTATATGAGAATTGCCTTCTCACTAGTTGAGAGAGAAGTATAGAGAGAAAATAAAATGAGAGATAGATTTTTAAGGAAAGCAAATACCTTATTTTAATTTTTATTATTATTTTTTTTAATATTTTATTTTTACATTTGAGCATGCCACAAATTCATTTTATCAAGTATTGCACAATTCTAATAAGGCACAAGACACATTTATTACAAGACTGAGTCAGTAGCAGAAAACTTTAGTTCAAACTTTGTTACAACATAAAAACTGTATACAAAGAAATTAATTCTTACCAATGTGAAAAAAGTCCATTGATGACCATCTGGTCGGGCCAACAGTCAGCTCGTTCATACTTGCACCTTCGACCACCACAGAAGAGGGCACACTGTTTTTCAAGTGAGATAAAGTTACGTGCCTGCTCTGTGAAAATACTGTAATGAGGATAAGGCTCATTGCCTGCAAGAGAGAAATAATTAAAAGAAAAAAAAAAGAGGGAGTATTAAAAAAAGATGTATATGCAGGCAAATTGACTGTTGGAGTAGAGTAGTACATGTGATTACTGATAGACGGATCATATTTTTAAATTAACAAATATAGTTTGTCTCGACTTTCTGGCATGAGGAGTTATTATTTAGAGTTAGATGAATGTCCTCATTTTTATTTTTATTATCACAATTACTATGTTACCAATTTCAAAAACTGATACTTTAATCCTCTAAGCTATTGTCCCATGGGACAATCCTGAATCTAGAAATTGGAGCCTTAAACCTAATATTCTTATTGCATATTTTTACTGCTGCTGCAGCCTTGCTGTTAAACTTTGTTCCTTCTGCATCACTTCATTTTTTACTGCTGCTGTTGAAGCCTTGCTGTCAAGCCTGGTTCCTTTTGTTGCTGTTTCTCCTTATCATTGGCTCTCATTTATATTTATATAGGCCTAATGAGGCAACTGTTTATACTAACATATGTTCAAAGGTTTTAGCCATTGGATTCTCTAGCATTTTGTCTGATATTTCTATTTCTTTTCCACAGTGGTTGTTGACTGTCTCTTTTGCTTCTATACATGATCTGCTATACTTGATTTCATTGTCTCATGCTTTAATTATGTTTTTTTTTATGTTCCTCCAGTTTTACTTTTAGAGATTGTTTCATTTCACCTTTGTATTTTTGACAACTATAAAACTAATTTTATTCTTTATTGAATGTGAGGGATTTTATTTTTACTTTATTTTATGCCAAAATGATTATATGTCATTGTGCGGACAAAATGTTTTAAAGATTCTTGCTTTATTAAAAATAACAAAAGAAATAGTTCTCTGAGAGAAAGGTTTATACCGGGGGCAACACTGAAAGAATGCAAATGATTTAACAACTCTCAGTTTACTTTTCAGCTGCTTATTTCATACACAGCATGTTTTCATTAATTTTTTCAGTGTCCTTTATAGTTTAAAAAGAAGTAAAATAATTGGTTGATTCAGGAGTTTCCTAAACAGAAACTGCTTGAGTTTTTCTGATATTAAAAAAAAGTCAATATCTTTAATTATTGTAGACAGAATTAAAAGTTTAAAAAAAAAACAAAAAAACTTTCAGAATGTTAATCTTAATGAAAGAGAATTTCAAGAGATGTTGCTGAATCTGAATTTCTCATAGCAGAAGAAAAAGCAGCAGAATTAAAAAAAAAAAAGAAGACAATTTGTTCTTAGCTTCTTCGCCAGCCAAGTGAATATTTTAAGGTTTTGATATTTTTTTAATATTTTCAAGTTTTGATTTCAAAATTACAAACACAAATCCCATGACAAGATGTGCACCCCCACCCAAATAAAAACTAAACTTGTGATGATGCATATGGCTCAAGCAATCCTCCCCATAGGCCTGTTCCAACACTAGAAAATTCTTTATAAATGCTTACTTTAGGTTGAAATAATTTCACACAAAAAACTATTTTAGAGATTTACTATTTCAACTTGAAAAAAAAAAGAGAAAAAAAAAAGAACAATGCATACACAGACATTTTTGCATACAGAACCCGTTTGTCTTGTCTGATTTCTGCCCATCCAGAGTGCTCTCCTTGACTGAAAAAAAGCTGGTGTTATATAGCTCTCTCAGTCGCAGAACATCGCTGACTATTGGCTACTACCTGCCCAATATGGTTTGACAAATTTAGTCAGCACCACCTACACTACATCGAATATCCTCCATCAATAGCCAATTGTGCAAGAGAACATAACTCCTTGTACTTACTATATCACATGCAACCAACTCTGGGTCTCTTTTGGGTTGACCCAATTCTCCGTTACAGAGCCCAAATATGAACCAACATGATATGATCCAAGTCAAGGTCAATATTATAAAAAACATTTCAGTTATGAGAAGAAGACTAAAAAGTTTCATTGGCATTCTTTAAAAGTGCCATATCTTTTTGAATACCTTGTATATTCAGCCAGTTTTTGTGTGCGTGTGTGATTATCACAGTGATATAAAATTACAAAAACTAACAAATAAAATAAATGCATATAAACATTCTTCATAAATTAAAATGTATGAAAAAAACAAAACAAACAAAAAAAAACAAAAAAATAAAGAAAGAATCATTTAAGTCATGTGAAAATTCAGCGGGTGGGGGGAATGAAAAATGCTGTCTAGTCAATGTAAAACTTTAAAAAAAAAAAAAAAAAAAAAAAAAAAAAAACTTATAAAATGAAAATCTCTTAAGCTTTGAATGAAAAATATTTTTTTTTTTATAAATTTTCATAACCTTAAAAAACAAAATAAATGCTCGATACAAGGTGATACCAAGAATAAGTTATCACCTTGGTTCAATAGGAAAAGTGTTAAGTTGGTGAAATTTTTTGACCTTTCAACTTTTGTTGCGTTATTATCTAATGTAATAATCTGGTCTTCTTCAGTCTATGGTTAAACATTGGTCTAGACCAAAAATGTCAGAGGGAAAATATTTAGATGAAAAAAAAAAAAATGCTACCCTACAATCAACTGACCCTGTAAATCTTTTTTGGTTAACCACTGAATCTCCTCGGCTCCAGGATGGATTACTTCATCAGGATCAGGATTCATGATTCTGGGAGAGAAAAATAAAAAAAAAATATGATAGTCATTTCACTGAAACAGTTTTTAAACAAAAAAATGTTTATTCATTTGTATTTAAATTTCCCAGATATAAATTTTCTATTAGACCCGAACACTTGAACCTGGTGCTTGATTTTGGCATACATTTGGTGGAATGACTCAAGAATTAGAAAAAAAGATAAAAATCATGAAAATAAAATGGTGAGGTAGTATGTTATTGGAATAATTGCAACTATGTCAGGATGGATAACTTGTAGAGATAATTCAGAATTCCAAGGAGCAGAAGTTAAGGAAAAAATGGAACAAATTTCATTAAAGTTTCTTATCCACCATTTTCTAAGTTTGGATTGCAATGAGAGATGAAACTGGAATTTTCAGAATTTTTAAGTTGACAATAATGATACTGTAATGAGGATAAGGCTCATTGCCTGCAAGAAAGAAATTATTAAAAGATAAAAAAGGGTGTTAAAAAAAGAGACGCATATGTAGGTACATTTGATTGTTGAAGTAGAGTCAGTCAGTCAATTATGTGCCATATGTGATACACATTTAGGCAATCATGTATCTTTCGATATATGACTGACAAGGTAGATTTTTTTCCATAGTAGGTTGCCATTTCTTTCTGTGGTAGACCAGTTGCCATCCAAAGCTATAGAACTCAGTCTGTCCTGCCATAGCTGGCGGGAAGAAGAAGAGAATTTATACCTTTCTCCAATGCTATTAGAACGTAAGTGAATGTAATAGATTCAACTGGAATTCAAACTTGGCTCTCCGATTCCTCAATCCGAGCCAATATCCATTACTCCACTGGGAAGTAGAGTAGTGCATGTTTTTACTGATACACAGATCATATTTTTAAACTGACAAATATAATTTGTCTTGACTTTCTGGCATGAAGAGTTATCATTATTTAAGGTTAGACAAATGTCCTTATTTTTATTATTACTATCACAATGTTTTGGCTGTTCAGTTCCAGTCCAGGGATTGAACTCACAATTACTATGTTACCAGTTTCATAAACTGATACTTTAATCCTCTAAGCTATTGTCCCACGGGACAATCCCGAATCTAGAAATTGGAACCTTAAACCTAATATTCTTATTGACTATTTCTACTGTTGCTAGAGCCTTGCTGTTAAACTTTGCTCTTTCTGCTACCACTTCTTGTTTTACTGCTGCTGTTGAAGCCTTGCTGTCAAGCTTAGCTCCCTTTATTGCTGTTTCTCTTTATTATTTTACTATCTTCTAACTTTTGATTGCAATAAGAGATGAAACTGAAATTTTCAGCATTTCTGTTGTTATGCAAAACAATACAAAACCAAATAATATAGGCAACTTCCCCCCTCCATAAAACTTCCAGATTTGGGGTGATTCATGACTTACTGTTTTTAGAATAAATATATAAACATTAAATTGCTTCAGGAACTTTGTCATCTCAGTTTTCATAATCAAACACAATATTTAGACTGAAAATCCTATTAATTAATAAATATACAAGTAATAAAGATATTTGATATTGAGCAGAAAGTTTTAAAAATCATTAGCTTTGATCAAATATCAAACTATAATTATGAGGGTGTATTTATATATTATCTGTCCCCTCTGTAGTGGGAAGAGAGTTAAACCAACTTAGATTAAAAAATGTAATCCTTGAAGAAAAGAAAAACAATACAGTTCTCGACCAGTTTCTTATTAAGAAGCGTATCGAACAACAACAACAGCCAGAATCAGCTGCTGATGCAGATGATCCACAGCCATCTACGTCTGTAATGTAAATAAACAAATCGAATGTAGATATTGGTAAATTTAATGTAAATTAGTTTATTTTCTACTATTGCAAAATAATTTTAACAACTGTATTTGTTATTTAACCTTACAAAATCATTTTATTTTATAATGACTTACAGCAAACCACATTTACAAATAAAGAATAGGTGATGTAATCTAAAGATTGCCAAATTGTAAACATCTACATTTACAAGTATGTACGTACATGTATTTGGAAATTTAGATTACTATTTTTTATATTAAAAACTAAAATTTATTTGTTTGTTAGCTAAGATTCTTACTGACCATATATTATTAACTTAAGTTGCTCTCCTGGAACAAATTACTGACGTAAGTGTGTGTATATATATATATATATATATATATATATATATATATATATATATATATATATATAAATATAATAAACATACATATACACCATTGGCACAACTCTGAATTTCATGCATTATGCAGCTGTCAGTTACTGACTGAATACTGACCATTGCATAATTTAAATTTTGATATATGTACCAGACTATCATAATAGTAGAGCAGTCCATATTATTTATGGGGGTTTGTTAAAAAATGAAAAACAAGGACAAATTAACAAAATATTTAAAATAAGTATAAATAAATGGGAGTATATATATATGGATATAGATGGATATGTGTGTACATGGATATATGTATGTGTGTATGTGGGTACACACCTATGTGTATGTATATAGGTGTATATGTTATTGTGTATGTGTGTATTCGCATGTGTTTTTGAACATAAAAATATAGGTCCTTGCTAGATTAGATAATCATTATATTTATTTTTTATATGTTTATATTTGATTTGTAACCTGTAGTCGATGTTAAATTTGCCAAATTTTCTCAATTACAAAGCGGCCCTTTTAGTAAATGTATTTCAATTTTACTTTCCTTCGCCCCATCTCTCTCCCCCACTTCGTCTTTCCCTCCCTCTTATTCTGATCTTCAACTTTAAATCGTCTATGGTGTGTGTATGTCACCACGAAATGTATCTTTATGCATTAGACATCCGACAACATTCATATTTCTCTTACTTAAACTCCTTCCACTCACCTCTCCTAAAATTCTCTCTGTTAAGGTTTAATCTCCTCCCTCCTTCTTGACTCTCTCTAAATTCTGTTTTTATTTCGGAGTTGTTTTTCTGTTTTTTCTTTTTGAATTTGTAGGTCTGATGAATTGGATCGTATTTACGATTCCAATGGAATAAATTATGACCATGGAATATTAGTGTTTAAGCCTTTTTATTATATCCTTACTCTGTCCTGAACATTGAGTTCTACCTGGAATCTATCCTCTTTGGAATTTTTATTCAAAAAATATACATATATGTGTATGCATATATGTATATATATATATATATATATTTTCATATATATTTTTACCATATATATATATATATATTTATATATATATATATATATATATATATATATATACACACACACAGAGGTAAATTCTTTGTGGATAAATAATCCAAGTGAATCTTAATAATAAAATATTAAAACTGATCCACAAAGTTCTGCTCAATATATTTATTATAGAGCAGATATAGATAATTTTCATTTAATGAAACTCTGTACCCCATATGAATGGCCATTTCACCTCCTAAGGAAAAAAATCCTTACTGAGGGCTTAAGTTTTTAAGATAAGAAAATCAAAAGGAAGCTTTTGTAAATTTAATAACTTTAAAGAAGCAGAAAACAAAATCAAAAAGTAAGAGAACAAGAATAGAAAAAGAAAGAGAAAAAAGAAAAATTATTTTCTATTTTTTATTTATTATTTTTTGCGTTTAAGGTTTTTTATGTTTTTTTTTATGGACTTTATTCTTTATACTTCTATTTCTAATATGGAGGAATTTCTGTTCTCGAACATCTCATATGTCAAATAAATCAGTTTTCGAACAGAAAGTTTGAGATGAAAATGCCTCGGTTGTCAAACAAAATTTTGGTTCTCAAACAACATAGCTAAATTGAATTAACCCGAATGGAATCATTTCTTAGTCGACCACTGTGTTGTATACATTTGTGTGTTGTGCTGTGCTTTTCTTTTCCAATCTTATTGTACCATGACATTTTTTTTTTAAAAAATAGTTTCAGTTTACGAACATTTCAGGTTACAAACAGCCTTCAGGAATTAATTTAAATTAGTGAACCAAGGTTCCGCTGTACTATAGTTACCTTAAAATCATGATTTTAATATTTAACTGTTTTTTATAAGTTGTTGTCTTTTATCAATTTTTTTTAATTATTTTTATGTTAATAGTTAACTTTAGATGATAATTTTAAATGATTTTTTTTTCTTTTTCATCTTAATCTTTAATTAATATTTATTTAAATTTTTCTTATACTTATGTCGGAATCTGTTTATTCTTATTAGGATATAAATTTTTCCGATAAATATTCCCTATTAATCTTACTTATTAATTTATTTTTTATATTTTTACATTAATATTTCTTTTCATATTTACTAGATCAACGTTTCTCAACCACTAAGGTTCTGCAAAAGGTCCCAAAGGTTTCTGCAAGAACAGGTAAGATAAGCTAATGCACTTTTGACTTTATTTAATTTCATATACATAAAATTACTAAACACACATGTAGTGGATCTAAGAAAGATGCGGGAATATTTAAGATTGTGCTGTAAATAAAATATACAATATCCACAAACATAAGTTATAAGAAAAGGCCAAATGGTAATGATATTCAATCATGACAAAAAATACATGTTTGAAACAACAGATTAAATTTTATATACACAATTTACAATTTCTTTGTTTCTAATGATGTATGCAAAGCCTAAAGGTGTGTAGAGGAAAAGTTATTTGCTGTTTCAGAAATGTTCAATGTCTAAAAAGTTGTCTGCCTTTGATTGAAAGGTCGAATTTAACTTAGACAAAATGAAAGATATTAAATGAAAAAGTTTGTATGAAATTTTCCAATCTCTCATAAAGAAAGTGTTTCTTTTATGGCAATTTTTGACACATAATTCTGTTATAGACAAGCATATGGTTGCAAGAAAGAAATACAACAACAGCAGAAATAGATTTACGTGGTTTATTTTCAACAGGAACGTGTGGGTTTGGGACAGCTACCTTGTGGAAAGTTCATAAGCCGGCTTCGGATCTGGGTTGATCTCTCATAGTAGTTCACACATGTTGATGTTGGTTGATAAAACCCCTGCTGA